AAGGTTGATGGAAACTCGTGGAATGCGCCTATCTGATGATCCCCAAGAAGGGCGAAACCGGTCGTCGGTTGTCGATGGATTTTCAGCAACCTTATGAGTAGTACATTACAAATATATACGTGTATCGCGATAGTTCAAATATCGTAGCGACCGAAACATGAGGCGGCCTGGTGCAGCACATTCAGTTGTCTGAGAACATCATAAACGAGAGATTCAGCTGGGTTCCATGTGAGTCTCTCGAAAGAACCAAATTAGTTTGCAGATGAGTGTATATTCGCTAATATGTGCCACTACGTTTGACGGATTCCTCAAGCCTGTGTGTATCGAGCAAGTCCAAAAGCGGGATGCTGTTATCGGTTTCTTCTGAGTTGGTTATGACCAGAACGGGATGATCAGCACTCAGATGATGAATGAATTACATGACTGATGCCCTGTTCTTGAGTATGAGTAGTATGTAATCGTCTCAGTGCTTTGAGTAGATTGGTTTTGAGACGAAATCTGTCAATTGTCTTCCTTTCACGACCAAATCAATAACAGAGCAAACAAACATACCGTAATAGTCCACGGGAGCTTGCCTGGACACACAGAAGGTTGCTGTGGCCGATCTCGAGAGGGTGCGTCAGCCCAAGCGATAGCCCAGTGCACTGCGAGTAGAGAGTTGTCGTGACGTCCGCCACGGGTGCGACTCAACGTAGTTGGTCAAACCGTGCTTGGAAATTTAACTCAGTGACAATCACACCTGGGCGATTTGTGTTACTTTGTGTGTGTAGCCTTGGCGTTTCCCTCTCCTGAAGAAGATCGCTCGCAGTTATCATACGTTGGCAAGCGTCCCGATCTCCCAGCCTGAACAAGCAATCGGTTTCAGGGTAACCTGTTTAATTGTTTGTTGCTTAGGGATGTGCACTAATTACATGACCACAATCAGTTGATTTTCTCTGGAAAATCTCTCGACGAGTTAGCCCTATAAACTCTGGTTTCGCTGGTCCGTTGCATTGTGTGCTGAGCCCAAACAATGTGCGGATCTTTTCCAGATAAGCCCCGCCACTTTTTGAGAGCTTCAATTTAACGTATGCAAACAAACCTGATCCGCCGGGAAACTAAAGAGGTGTTCATGTATCCAATCCCCGGTCGAACTGCGGCCACTTTGATGGACACAATCCAGGCCTGCATCGCTCCCGGCTCAATCATCACCTCCAATATATGGGCATCATACCAAGGAATTGAAACGATG